TATCCTTGTAGGCACTCGCTTTCTGTCACTGAACAGAACGGCCCAAATCCCTGCCATTTGTGGAACTTCTTTCTAGTTTCCTTTCCTTCCTTTGATGTAGTAGTTTCTAAGAGGAAAAACCATGATCTCTCCCCACCCCCAGCCTATTCAGTAGTGTCTCACTCTAGATTCAGGTAAAGTTAATACTTATAGGTACCCGTTTTCCATTATTTTAAAAGTGCTTTCCCTTAGTTATCTCATTCTCTGGAATGGCCCTAGAAAGAGAATTTTTTCCCTCATTTGACAGGTAAGAAATCTGAAACTTGGAAGTTGCAGCTTATTCAAGTCATTCAGTAGGAAATATTGGAGCTAGAATTTGAAGCCACACTTTTTGATTCAGAGTTGCCTGCTCTTTCTACACTGGCAGTTGTATCAAAAACTCCACAATGGCTTTTACTCATTTCACTGCCCATTTTATTTCAGTTCTGTTGATATTTATTGAACTCCTACTAAAAGCCTGGTATTGGACCTGCCCTGGGAAGGCAAAGATTGTTTAGTCCCTGCCCCGAGGAGTTCAGAGTTTAGAAGGAGGACTGTTGACACATAAGTGGGCATGCTGTGTGCTAAATGTAAGGCTAGCTCTATGTAACTGGAATCCTTTGAAGCACAGAGAATGGCCACCTCATCTAGAACAAGGTAGTACATGTCAGAAAAGACACACTAGAAGATCTCCTGCCTGAGCTGAGTCTGGAAGGATGACTTAGCCAGGAAAAGGGGAGGGATATGAACCGTAGCAGAGATGTAGAGAGTTACAGGCTTTTAGGGTCGCTGGAGGGTAAAGTGTGAAGCAGGGAACAGCCAGCAGTCAGCCTAAGGTATTTAGTAGCTACCAGGTGATAACATATCCTGCAGGCAAAACTCTTTCCATGCCCCGTCTTGGTGCCTTTAGGTCAGTTATCCATCCTTGGTCTGGTAAGCTATAGTCAGGGCTGAAGAATTGCTTGGTACAATAATGTCAGGATAGTGTTCTATACGTAAGGAATTGCTCAGAAGGGGCAGTGTGCAAGTGGGCATGCCACTAGGACGCATAGTGTCACTGGAAGGCTGGCTCACTGAATACTTGGTCCAAGACAGAGACATAGTAGAAGCCAAGACTAGCGTGGAGATAGTGAGTTTTTAGTGGCATCATCTGTTCTACTGTGTAATCTCGCTGAACATGTGGGAGACCACATGGCTGAATCGACTGATGCCAGACCACCTTTTATAGCATAAGCTAAACAATATTCTCAGGTGAAAACCATGTTTCACTTATATCAAGGAGATAAAAACAATGTTGTAGTAAACTCTACTATCATTGTAAAATATTACTGACCATGCTGGGCTATCTTAAAATTTCCCTTCTCTGTATTCCCAGAACAACCATGATTTATATATGTATTTACTACAGTTTAGACACTGTGGTAGATGTTAAGATAGGTACAGCTTTACACCTTCCCTCATAAACTTAAGAGCCAATGGGAGCAATAATTATGCATTAATAGGTGGACAAACCACCTTTCCAACCTTATTTCTCACTACTCCTAATCATATACCAGCCAGACTAAGTCTACCTAAGGGGCACCCGTTGTCTTCTTATCTCCATGCCCTTTCTCATTCTGTGCTCCATACAATACCCTTGCTCCTCAGCACCCCCAAACCCAAGTCTTGTCTACTCATTAGGACCTCTAGTATATTGCACTTCTTTTATATACTTCTCCTTATTTCTCTAGACGATGTAACCTCTTCTTTCTCTGAAATCCTGAAATTGTTTCCTGTGTATCTCTCTAAAATAATACCATATTATCAATTCTAAGATGTGCATTTTTTCACATTTTAACAACTCTGTAAGTTACTCTTCATCAACATTCTTGAAAACGCACAGGATGATATTCTGTGGAAAGACGTGAACAGCTACTACTCCAAGTCACAAAGTAGTTCAGAAGAATGGAGAAGCATTAGGAATACCTTAACCAGTTTATTTTGCATTTGTTCTTTTTATATATGCCCTATGCAATATATGACAAAACCTGCCCAAGTAAGTCTTTGAAAAACTTTTTTAATACAAAATAAAAATTATAAGAGATTAGACATCATGTTATAGTTTAATTGGCAGCTTTTTTCTTAGTGTACATAAAGTAATAGCGTGACTTACAATCAGTAGTGTCCTAGATTCAAAGAAATATGATAGTTAACTTTTATTTTATTGATATAATATGCCAGAAATTGAGAACATTTACCTGCCTAATTGTGTCATATATATTTATATTTAGTTTCCAAATCCCATATTAAACCAAATTCCATATAAGCTCTTTGGGGACAGACTTTGTGTTTATTTTATCTTTGATTCCCTTGCAACACTTGGTATAGTGCTTTACAACGAATAGACATAAAACATTTATTAAATAAATGGATTAAAACAAGAAGTATTAAGTAAGTAAGTGCCACAGAAAGGTAAAGTACTGTATGAGTGAACATCCGCTAGTATATAATTTCAGTTAACTGCTTAACTGTATTTTTGTTAGAAATATATGGTATTTGGGCAGGTCCTTGGGCCAAATCTCAACTTAGGCCGGTGGCTTTTGAACTAACTGTACTCAATCCTAATAGAATTCTATCAATTTAGGTCTATTTCGCTGACTACATTGCTGAGCAAATGTGGTGACTCATGATTAGATCATAATAAGTAGTAAATAAAGCCTTTGCCTTGGAGAACAAATGACAGTGACTTTCCCAACAACACCACTAAGATTGTGCAGGAGACCAGACAAATACCTGTCTCTAAGAAGCATAGTATATTAGGGGAGCCGAGCTGACTCAATCAGTACAGCATGCAACTCTTGATCTTGGGGTTGTAGATTCAAGCCCCATGGTGGGTATAGAGATCACTTAAAAACAAAATCTTAAAAACAGAAAAAAATATAGTAATTTTAAAAAGTTTTGTTTTCTTGTTCCTTCCAGTCAACCTCTATGCTCCTATAATTTAAAAAAAAAAAAAAAAAAAAACTGCCTATGGAATTGTGTCTATGTGATAATTTCTAGTAATTTTTACCCTTATTCTTTGGGCTACAAGAATAACAAGAAATAACATCTAAGTGGTTTTTTTTCAGTCAGCTAAATAGTTTTACTTCTGATCCAAATAAGTTTGTTTCCATTTCTCTAATGGAAGAACAATGCCTGTGTGTTTGCAAAATACTTGGCCTGAGTAAGCACTATGGTAGTCCACATTCCTGTTCACCAGATAGTTCCAGTTTTCTTTCTGGATACATGATACAATTGTATATCCTTTCCCCACCCGCAAAACTTAGGTGTGGTCATGTGACTTTTTTGTCTGATGAAGACTAGAAGTGACATGAAGCTTTAAGTTGTCATATTTCCTTTATCCTGCAGAAGCAGCTATAGATATACAGAGAAGGAACCTCCCTTAGCCTAAGTCCCTGAGTGAAGGCAGCATAGAACCAAGCCCCCATCTCCATTAGTTGACCTGCTCATAGTCATGTAACATGTTTCATACTACTTAGATTGTGAGAGTATTAGATAAACACAATCCAGAGTATCTTGATTAATACAAGTCTTCAGCCAAAACAGTGGGCTTTGGTGATAACTAAAAGAATATAAAAGATTTGGTGTGCTGATCTTGACCCCGTATTTCTTTTTCTTCCTGATGGAAATGTTTATTCTACATTTAGCCTCTACAGGACAGTTATTCATCTTAAGGTGATTAGAGTCATTTTCCTGGCACCAACATATTTTTCTTTGAATTAGAACTTTTTTCTCAAGACGTAAGACGTCCTTTCATCTGCCAACAATAGAATTGTTACTTGAAAGTAGTGGCTGTCATCCTTCATGCGTGTATTTGTTCTATTATTCAACACACTTTTATTGGCTGCTGATTGTTTAGCAGGTGCTAAGATGAGAAAAGTATTCAAGGAGCTCTCGATAATTTGGTGAAAATGGCAGGAGGCAAGCAGGGGTCAAAAACCCTGAAGTACTTTGTTCTAATTAAGTCTAGATGTTTCAGTGGTTTCATAAATGATATTTCACTTATGAAATATTTCACATTTCATTTTAAGATACTTTAGCTACATTTGAAGCTCAAGTTTACAAAAGACATATTCAAGGTGATATAGACCAAATTTTAAAAGCGTTTGAGACCACCAACATACTACATTGTGCTTATTACATAACTCTTTTATTTTGGTTTTAGTTTTTTAATTTTGGTTTTGGTTTTTTTGGCAGCTCTTGGATTAAAGCTTCTTCTCTTCTATCAGTACATTCTTTAAAATCCCTTTAATGCACTAAGTACCTTCTCACCTCAGGGCCCTTGCACATGCTGTTCTCATTTCCTGTTTTCTCTTAATTTAGTTCAGGAAGTCAATTACTGGATGCCTTTTCTATTCAATTGCCTCATAGAAAGGAATATATTTTTCTATGTTACCTGGTTGTGTTTTTAAAAATCTCTTATCAAAATTAGACGTTTCTCTACCATAGCTGGGTATAGAAATCAAGAAATAAGAAGTTAAGTATTATCAAAAAGCTTAATTATCCCAATTATCCTAGAAGAAAAAAATTTTTTATCCCATTACCAGGTGGTTTCAAGCAACTATTGTGTATAAATTAAAAAATTAAGGGGCTCCTGGGTGGCTTAGTTGGTTAAGCGTCCGACTTTCGCTTAGGTCATGATCTCGCGGTTCGTGAGTTCGAGCCCCACATCGGGCTCTGTGCTGACTGCCAGCTCAGAGCCTGGAGCCTGTTTCAGAGTCTGTGTCTCCCTCTCTCTCTGACCCTCCCCTGTTCATGCTGTCTCTCTCTCTATCTCCTAGAAATAAATAAAACATTTAAAAAAAAATTAAAAGCTGGCTTATTTTTTTTGTCTCCATTATAAAAATCTTAGCAACCTTTTCAAAAGCGGTACGAAGGAGTAAGGAGACAGCAAGGCGCTGTTTTGGTTTTCTCTCCCATCACTTTCTGCCTTTTCATTCTAGGGGTTCTTCAGCAAGCGCCTGAAAGGTTCCATCAAGAGGACCAAAAGCCAATCAAAGATTGACAGAAACACGAGCTTTTGGCTTCCATCCCTTCGTAATTCAGATGACAGGTAGGAAGTTAACTTGCTTGCAACAGGGAAAGCGGTTTGGTGTTTTGTTTTTAAATGGGAAAGCAGTTCTACAGCGGATTTTGATAAGGCGTTTAGCCTTCTCTAACTTTATATCAATGACAATTGGAAAGATCCAATACTAAAATTGACTTGTTTTTTCTGTGGGTTTTGTTTGTTTTTTGTTTTCTGTTTTTTGTTTGTTTCTTGTCTTACTCTTACTGAGACAAGGTGCAAGTATTGACTCAAATACCCAGCCATTTGAAGAATCTTAGAATACTGAAAATTAAGAACTAATTTAAATGCTATTTTTATAAAATCAAACGCCAGTGGTTGGAGGTGTATCTTTCTTTTGTAGAATGAGAGATGATAGGGATGATGACGGTGACAGTAGCAAATATGTTCTGAGCACTGAACTATATGCTTTATATACATTATCTTGTTTAATCTTTATAGTAACTCTGTAAGATAAATATTCTTATCACCACTTTGTAGATGAAGAATCTGAGGCACAGAGACATTAAGTAATCTTGCCCAAGGTCATACAGCTCAGTAAAAAGCAAGAATGGTATTTGAACTTGAGCAGTTTGACTCCAGTCCATGCTGTTCACTGCTGCATTGTTCTCTGTATACAGCACATGGAACCAGTTGGTGTGGTTTGCAGCCACACCGAGAAGACATGAATGAAAAGGAAGATTTTGATTATTAGGACTGTCAGCTTGAGTCACCCTCCAGTGCGTAGCTTAGTAAGGACAACAACCTTCTAAACTCACTGAATGTGCACCAGGACACATTGTTCAAAATTTAGGAAACAGTACTTGCTGAATCCTGACACATCACCACCATCACCAACATTTATCGAATGCCTGCTACGTGCCATGCATTTTTAATGTAGTCTCTTATGTAATGTAACCCTAGATACTGGTATTATCCTCATTTTACAGATGAGGAACTAAGGCAAAAGAGATTGAGAAACTTGCCCACAGTCACACAGCTAGTAAATAGTAAAGCCTGTCTGCCTTTTGTATTTGATACTCTTATTTATACTGTTTCTTGTTTTCTTTTCACTAAGTCCATTATTTTCAGTTACCCACATTACAAACAAATATAGATTACAGTCTGTAATGGCAGATTATAGATTTGCGAGACAGAAAATTACTCTCCTTTTTAATAGATGAAGTAACTTTTCCCCACACTGACTTGATGAGAGACTACTGCTTTATCAGATCTTCTGATCCCCAAACCCCTTTAGAGGTACTCTCTGAAATTTCCAAGTCTGTTCAATTTGCTGTATAATTGCATTGTTAATTATCTCCTTCACACCTCTTTGTTTTAAGGTAATCACAAAAAAAGGCTGATTTTTGCTTTTCCTATCTTTTCTTCCTTTTGTTTTACAACTTCCATCATTTTAAGAATTAAAAGCATTTTCTAAATAAGTCTCAATAGGGGCGCCTGGGTGGCTCAGTTGGTTGGGCATTCGACTTCAGCTTAGGTCATGATCTCACGGTTCATGGGTTCAAGCCCTTTGTCGGGCTCTGTGCTGACATCTAGCTCAGAGCCTGGAGCCTGTTTTGGATTCTGTGTCTCCCTCTCTCTCTGACCCTCCCCTGCTCATGCTCGCTCTCTCTCTCAGAAATAAATTTAAAAAAATTTTTTTAAATATTAAAAATAAATAAGTCTCAATAAAATGGAGTGACACTTTTTTTCCCAGAATATTGGTTTTCAAGAACAGCTATGTTGCGCAGCCTCTGAAACATTCCCCATCCATAGCCATTTTCTTAAACTCTGCAGCATCACGTGTGTGCAAGGGAGACCAGGAGAGATTTTTTTTTTTAATAGGCACACTGGATTTTTTAAACTTGTACTAAATTTCACTTTCTTAATTTCACAGTGTTCCTCCCATTCTGTCTTGCTTTAAATAGCCTAAAAGAATGTTTAGGTTGAGTTACTAAGAGATTGTATTGTCCTAAAGTCTCCGATCCTGCTAGTATACAGCTGGTGTACTTCAGCCTTTCCAATGACCTAAATCCACCATAGTGCCTACCACGCTGCCCTGCTTCAGTCAGTAGTAGTATCTTTGTGACTCAAATAAAGCATAATAAAAAGGTGCTCGTTTATCTCACATATTTATATTTTTCAAACCCATTTGAATTATAGAAGTTTCCTATACAGAAATTTTTCAGAAACATTATTCTTCCCATATAGCAATATACTCACTAGAGTATGGATGTATTATAGGTAAACAAAACAACCCAGACTCTTTTGTCTTCAGATTATCTGAAGATGCAGATAAATACAACTGAGATACCAGTATTGATCAGTTGAGTTCTTTGACTCAGTACTCTTATAGGAGTGACCAAAGATTCTTTCAAAGACCCTGGTTTTCTTGGATTATGTTCATCAGTTGCCAGAGTCAGGCCATTTCTTCCCAAATGGTATATAGGTCTAAATCCCAGTAGCAAAGTCTTTCTGTTCTTATATCAAATCCATAGAAACTCTAGTCAAACCTAGTAACCAGCCTTTTTTTCAGTTTTTAAATTGTGCAATAAAATACATGTCATTGTTCTAAAATTTTAGTATAGATGTACAGATCAAAAAGCTAAAGTCACCCTTGACCTCCCTATCTCCCCATATAAATAACCTCATTAACAGTTTGTATATTTTCAAAACTCTTTTAAAAACCAAACACATGGAGTACCTGGGTAGCTCAGTTGGTTGGGCTCAGGTCTTGATTTCAGCTCAGGTCATGGTCTCACCATTCGTGGGTTCCAGCCTCACATCAGGCTTTGTGCAGACAGTGTGGAGCCTGCTTGGGATTTTCTCCCTTTGCCCCACTTTTGCTCATGTGTGCTTTCTCTCTCTCTCTCTCAAATAAACTTTAAAAAATAAAAATATAGAAATGCACACACACATATATATGTTTTACTTATTTTCATATGAAGTGGGATCATATTACACATATTACTTTGTGACTAAGTTTTTAGTATAAATACTTTGGACAACTTTTATGTCAGTATATATAAATCTACATGATTTTAAAAGCTGTCTTCTTAGTATGCTAGTTTTTTGTAACGTATATTTCACTTCTGTGTGGATGAATATTTTAACTGTTTCCCCCCTTGGGACACAAAATAGAGATGTAATAGACATCTTTGAATATGTACCCTTTTTGTCTTTATGTGATTGAGTCAGATTTCTGAAGTAGAACTACCATGTAGAGTATATGCACGTAATCGAATTGTCCTTCAAAAAAGCTATAGCAATTACCATTTCCACCAACAGAATAGGATTACTTTTATCTTTTAAACAGCATTGTACATTGAATCAATATGATGGAATAAATAGTAATCATAAACACCTACATGGTATTTACTATGTGCCAAGACAGTGTTCTAAGCATTTTACATAAACTAACACATTTGATCATCACAGCCATCCCATGAGGTAGTTACTATAATGACCTCATTTTGAAAATGAGGAAACTGAGGCACGAGAAATTACTAAATTGTAGAAGGTTAGAAAATGGAAGAAGTATGTTTCGAATCCAGGAAGTCTGGCTCTAGAGTGTATATTCTTAAACTTAACGCTATACTTACTGCTTGCCTCTCAAAAAAAGTGGGTGAGAGGGGGATGTAGTTTTTCATTTTAATTTATGTTTGCCTAATGTCTGATAAGTTGAATATCTTTTCACTTTTATGACTTGTTTATTTATTACTTTGACCGTTTTTCTGCTGCACTATTTTGTCTGTCTGTCTGTCTGTCTGTCTTTCTTTCTTTCTTTCTTTTTTTCTTCCCTCCCTCCCTTCCTTCCTTCCTTCCTTCCTTCCTGCTAGAGATCATAAACCACTATCATGCATGTTGCTAAAATTTTCTCCTGATCTGTTTCTTATCTTTTAAAAATCATGTCTCTAAATTATATAGAAGTTTTAGATCTTCATTTGGTCTAACATGCCAATCTTTTTCTTTGTGGCTTACCTGGCCAGATTTGACCAGAACACTGAAAAAGCCAGAGATCTGTTTCTCATTACATTTCTCATTAAGATGCTGTGCAAATCACTTTATCTCTCTGCCCCTCCCCTTCAAAAGGAAGAGAGATTCTATCTAATGTTAATTATAAACATTGCTATAAGGCTGTGGTGGAATTTGGTATTAGTGTTGCTTTTTGGGTCAATTTCTAATCATCCTTAAACTAAAAATTTCCTTTGTGAAATTGTGGGGCACAGGTATAAAAAGTAAAGCTTTGACAATATTTCTAATAACCAAATTTCTTTTTTTTAATGTTTATTGATCTATTCTTGGGGGAGAGAGAAAGTGAAAGAGAAAGAAAACACAAGTGGGGGAGGGGCAGAGAGAGGGAGACAGAGAATCTAAAGCTGGCTCCAGGCTCTGAACTGTCAGCATAGAAGTCTGACACAGGACTTGAACTCTGGAACCATGAGATCATGAGCTGAGCTGAAATCAGATGCTTAACCGACTGAGCCACCCAGCTGCCCCTAAAAACCAAGTTTCTTGATATACAGTAACATACATAATGTGTGACAGTTAAGTACATATTAGGAAGCTGTGTGCTACAAAGGAATGTAGCGACCTAAAGACATAGCCCCCAACCTCAGGAAAGTCTCATAAAAGAAGTAAGTTGTCCAGAAAGAAATGGTACAGGTGAGGTGAGATTACTTCCTGCTGGATGTTCAGAAACGACTTTATAGGGCAGTGGCCCGTGAGTGGAACATGTGTAATTTGAACTTAGAAACACACACAAGGAGAGAGCTTTTCTCAGAATGGAAATAATGAGCAAAAGCAGACAGTAGGCAGTTATGGAGCTTGAAGAGAACTACTGAATAGTTCATGGTGTGTAAAGTGGAGAGGTAGAAAATAAGATTGGACAGGTAAAATTCCAGTTTTGAAGTTGGTAGATAAAAAGGTTCTGGCTTTTTTGTCTTAAAAATTACTCACTGTAAGAAACAGAAACAGGAACTCCATCTTTGATGGGACGAGGAGAAAAC